TCTGAAGAGATTTGATTGAAAAAAAAAAATACTGAATTGTTTAGTGACCACTATCCATTCTTGAATAAATGAGGGGGCACTGTCTAGTATAAACATAGTTGTCCTACAGTCCCCCAAAGTAGAGGAATAAGCATTGTCCTCATGTCTTAGAGACACACCTTGAGCCTCAAGACCCTTTGAGATCAGCTCATATCACAGCCATCCTTCTCCATGAACTGCAGTGACAGCTCTGATCCCCACCCAGAAGAGCAGAGGTGTCAGGGCACAACCAGCCCCAGCAGGGACGGGGGCTGCCTTGCCAGAGGGCTGGCAGGGCAACAGAGCAATTTGGGGGTGGCCTAAAATGTTCCTTACAGCTTCAGCTATCCCAGAGATATTTCTGGAGGGGGATCTTCATATAGTTTGAAGGAAGGATGAGGAAAAGACAAAAAAGAGAATGTAAATCTTTAGATGTTGATAATCTGGAAAATGTATCAATCCCATTAGTGACTGTAGGATAAATATGCAGGAACTGAAACTGGATACTTCTGCCTCATCCTTTCTTGCTCACATCCCAGTGACACACATACAGGTGGACAGCCAGCTGTACGGACACCACTGCAGGAAGATGTATGGGAGGCAGGGTCAGTGACCTCTCTGTGCCGCATGCCCCTGGGTGCAGGAGGCTGAGTGCTGTGCCTCCAAGGACTGCACCTTTGGCTCTCTCCTGCTATTGCTTTCCTTCACTAACTCCTCCCCTGCCTTTGTTCAGGACCCTCTTTTCAACATCCCTGTGATCACAGACATTTTTTGCCGATTCCCTGCTAAGTTGCCTGCTATGAAAATAGCACTTTGTCATAGTTGCTAGTTTATTGGGGGAGCAAGAGACCCCTGTTTAAAGCTATGGGAAAGGGCCCTCTAGCACTCTGTCTGCCTTAAAAGCCTTGCTGTCAGTTTGGAAAGGAACTTGAACTAAAACCACCAAAAAGCTACCCAGAAAACACTGACTGTACATTAAGTTTTGTGAATGTTCCCACATCCCTCGTAATGCTCAACCGCAGCTCTGTACTAAAGGCTAGATACACATGGTAGGCATTTTTCCTCTTGCTAGCAGTGGGATAGCCAAGCTTTTCTTTTAAGTCCGAAATCAAAGTATTGACAAACAGTAAGAGAGGAATGTGAGTTTTGAGGCTGTATCTTCCCTCAGAACAAGAAAACTGTCTAACTCCAGGGCTTTTCCCAGTATGGTTTTATTCTTCTCACAAATTTGTTTGTATTGTTTTCTTCCCTCTTCTCTAAAGAGGAAATAAGCCTGCGGCTCTCTCACACTTTAGTATGCTTGCCGTGCTATCTGTGCAAAAACATTTCAGATTCTCTACTCAGCACTTCATGTGTGAAAAGCCATGTCTTTTCAAGAACTGGCAGCCTGCAGGATAATTTATTTCATATTGCAGCAATCCTGTATACTGGAGCTGTCTTGAACCTCTCCTGCTTTCTTCTGGTGCCACACTGTAGTAGTGATCTCATTTCTGTTTCCTCACAGGTGTGTGGTTTGGTTGCAGGGCAGCAGGAGCTATTCTACAGTTTGCAGTGTCAGTGAGCAGATGGGGTGAGTGTGCACAAGCAAAATAGCCTGTGAAATTTCTGAACAGACCCCTCACTTGTGTGGTCACTTTCGATTTGCAGGGGACTGAAGTGAGATCATCCTTCTGGCTTTATATTTCTATGTTCCTGTTCTTCTATTGTTAATTTTAAATAACAATTGTTCTGTTTTTACTATTTAAATAACAAATGCAAGTGTTTTGCAAAGTTTTGGCTTCCTGAAAAGGGAGGTTCCCCTTTGAAATCTGCTTTTCAAACTGTGCCAAGTCATTCCCTGGGCAAGTTTCTGTTTCGTTTTTCACTCGCTCTTCTGATGCTGGGTTTCCATAAAACAGGAGAGTTTCAGTTTTCAAAGTAATCTCTGTTGCTTTCATTTTTTTCTTTTTTATTTTTTCCCCTATCTAAAGCTGAGAAAAGAGTTATTTTGCACTGCTCATGACACAGCCTTGTCGTTTGGGAGAAAGAGCCTGGTCATTGCAAGTGTGCAAGGTGCAGAGCATAGAGTAAAGATACTGGAACGGTATTTCAGTGAGCAGCTAAGGCGGTGGCAGTCATCTTGCTTATCAGCATGAGAATCAACATGGACTTTACTTCTGAGAAGGAAAGGTGAGACCCGAAGGGAAAACAGTGCTAATACAACCTGCTTGGTGTGATTTTCCTGTGCAGTCCTAGTTTGAAAATGAGGACAGAAGCAGGAGGCAATGGAAAGCTGGATGTGTTAGCATGGGTCAGCAGAATAAAATCACTTTCTGTCCCTGGTCCAGGTACTTTAAGCTTGATCAGACAGCTCTACACTGCACTGCTGACTGCAATGTAGACATATATGTACTTCTTTGGAAAACCGACTGCACAATAGGATAAATCCTCTTATTTGATGTGCAGTGTTCTAGTTAAGAAAAAAAAAATGATGTCTGCTAACCACTGGAGTTAAGGGCAGTCCGGGTTCAGCCTTGCAGATGTCTCCTAAGGAGAATATGACTCATTGCTCGGGGACTTTTTTTTTTTTAACCGTCCTCGTTTTACTGGGGTTGGGAAATTCCAGTGTGATGAAAGAAAAATTTCTCATTCTATTTCACTGCCATGAATATATGAGGCTTGGTGTCTTCAGTTTAAGATCTGCCTAGTTCAGATCAGTTATTCTGACTCACTGACACCCTGAGAGGCAGACAGCCTTAGTTTCTGGTGTCCAGATGCCTCACTCTGAGAGATAAAGCCAGAAGTCAAGAAAACCCAAGGTTCAAGTCAAGCACCTGCCAACATACCTTTAAGCCACATTTATGTCTTCCTGGGTGGGACATGATACAGGGAGCAGCCTGTCTAGCAGGGCTTGTGAGAACACAGAGCTTCCTTTCCTTCCTGTCTTGGCTGCACTTCTACAGAACTGCAGACTAGGAAAGATGGCACAGCTGACATCACTGCCATGCTGCTTTTCTGAAAGGCAGACATTTTATTCTCCTATATATGTGGAGCCTGGCCAAACCATGGCAATGAGCAACACACTGTCACGGCATGTCAGAGCTGTACACAGATAGCACAGACACAAGTCAGGTATACAATGCTCTGCCTTCATCAGTCCACAGGTGCACAAGCGTGGTGCATGGATAGCAAACCGTCCAGCTACAGCAGCCTGCAGATTTTCCTTTGAAAAACAGCAGAGTGGGGGGATTTTGGCAGTATAGTAGTGGCAAGCTGATTGGTTGGACACTTAGAAATGCAGAAAGGTTAGAGGCAAGAGGCTCCAAAGTGCAGGGCGAAGGTTTTTCTGAGTATTTAGCATCTATGTGGTGCTTAAGATCTGGGGAAAAGCTGTACAACCTAAACCACGTTTAGGCTTGGCAACAAAACATGCTCTGCGGCCTTCAGACCTTCCATAGGTCAAGCCTATGAAAGGCTTAATGTTTTTGAAGATAATCTGGATCCTGCTTTTTCTCCTTTACCAGCTCTTGCTTAGTGCCATCCAGAGATTTCGAGCTGTTTTCAAGGGCCACATTGCTACCTTTCCAGGCACCTCACTTCTGGCAATGTGACCTTTTGGAGTAGCCCCAGGTGGCTGTGTGTACCTGGCGTTCCAGGGGGTCAATTGCCTGCACCTGGCACCCCGCTGCCAGCCCTGCTCTGCCCTTTCCACACCCCTGGGGCCAGGTGACAGTACTTGGACCCTACCCCACATGCCAGTACATCACAGCTGGGAGGAAGCCCTGTCAGGTCTCCTCAGGTTTTGGCTGGGTCTTGATGCTGGCTGGAGATTCTCTCTAAGGAACTGATGGGAGAGGCAAAGAAGAAAGTCATTCTGCCTACTGTGTGACCTGGAAAAATCAAACCTTTCCATCAAGGTCTCCTATTCTATTGAAAGGTTTCGTGAGACTTTGCATAAATGGGTGTGTGAGTGGGAAAGGCCTCACTGCAAACCAGCCCAGCACTACGTGTTCTTTGAATCTGGGAGCCAAGCCCTCTGGGCTCTGCAATGGAAGGAAGGTAAGGTGGATTTTTTCAGAAGAGTTATTTCCCCTTTTGTGATTTACTGACCTGAGTAAAAGAAAACCTAAAAATGACATCTATAGGTTGCATTATAAGAAGAAAAGAGAGAAGTAAAGCACTAGGTGGATTTTTTTTTTTTAATAACAATAATGTTTTCATTGTATCAGTTATACAGTTGCACACTTGCATATGGAGACATCATAGCTTATGAAGGTTGCCTTACAAAAAACATGGTTCTGCTATGCTGCCGCAGCTTCTGCTTCTTTGAAGGGTTTTAACATTAGAAAAGGTTTGCAATTATTGCAGAGAACAAGGGAAATATTAAGTACTGGGAGCTTTTGCATAGAAAACTTGCACAAATACACACACAAATATACAAAACTGTATACATACACATGGGTGCTTTCATACAAAGGAGAAATTCCATTTACAACAGACTAGAACTTAATTATACAGCAACACCTATATTAAAATGATGTATATTATACAATTTTTTTTTTGTTCAAGTATTCTTCCTGGTACACTTCATAGACTCTTAATGCCAGTTTTCACTTTGAAAAATGCAACATCCCACAATTTTAATGAAAGCAAAACATTACATTGATTAAGTAATGCAGGACCATACATTTAGATTAAACCTTTTCTTCAAGTAATGACTATTTCTTTTTTTTTCCTTGTAGTGAATCCTATAGCTGGACTCTTATATTGTACCTCTTAGTAAATAAACCATAAAACTTCTCCCAGTTCTTAACAAATAAAAAAAGAGGCTAAAACTTTTTTCAAAGAAAAATACTGCTACAAAAATCATAATTATTCCTCGTTCATGTAACTTCCTTGAATCAAATTGCCAATGAAAATTGGCAAAGCATTTAAAACCTTTGTTATTTATGTTATTAGACAAATACTAATTCAGTCAGAAATAATTTTCAAATGATTCTGTGCTATGTCTCTTCCAAACTACCAGAACAGGTTTTACTTAGCTCAGCGCTATCATTGTAAGAGTTTCTCCTTTCCTGAGTGCAGGTTTTGCTTTGCTCAGTGTCATCACTATAAGGCTGTCCCCCTTCCTGACAGCTGGAAACAGCTGCCTTCAGTTTTTCCTCAATTTTATCAGCTGCAGCACACATTTTAAACTCTCTCAGGCTGCTTATTAGGGTTCCATAGGCTCCTCTTATCCCATGTCTTTGATACCAGACTTGAAACAGCTTAATCTTCTGTTCAGATGTATCACTAAAATAATCTCGAACAATTTGATCTATGACAGGTTCTGGTACTTTGTGATTACGAACAAATGTTCTGACTTCTGGGAGTGTCATCTCCTCCACAATAGCGGCAACATGGCTGCTCAGGTCAACATCTAGAAGCATAAAAGAAAAATAATGCTCTTGGTACTTATATCTGGGGGTTTTTGTCACCCATGCTCAGAGCTGATGCTTTTCCTATCCAAAACAGATTAAGTTTCAGATATTCCTGACTCAGTATGTTTTATATGTGATTTGTCTACAAGATATAGCAGGTCTGCTTTTATAGGTTCCTACCAAATGCTAGGTAATTCAAGAATCTAGGGTTGCATCCATATTGCTTTCTACCACTTGAAATAGAATCTCAGTTCCCCCTGTAACTTTGTCCTTCTCTATCATTAAAGTCTGGTCATGCCTCATGAACCCATTTTGCTTAAAATAGTGTTGGGAAAGGTCCTGGAACAGGATGGGTCTTTTGTTGTGATACAGTCTTGGAGCTTATCTTTTCCTATTGTGTGTTACTACTGTAGATTTACCCTTGAACATAAGGTTTGTGTTTCTGCAATCTCATTACTGGGTGTGGGACTATGCCATTATCATAATTATCCATGATTCTAGAAATCCAGCTTGCTGCTTCCTAGTGTCTGTCCCACATGCAGAACAGAAATTCACCTGCTGTCAATTAGTAATTGCTTTCTATACAACAGAAATTCTTCCTGAGGCAAAACTTTCATGATACCACTAAATGCTTTAATAAGCACAGTATGAACTAGTGTTTCTTTAATGAGTGGTCACTGTTGTGCTAGAATGACAGCTCTAGGCAGTGGCAAAGTCTACACAAAAATACTCTCTTTTTTTTTTTTTTTAGTGTAGCAGTTATTTATCTGTATTTTTTTTTCTTCAACTGAATTTTGAGATATTACTTGTCTCTTACCTGTGTGTATGAGAGGTACATTCTCCTGAAAAGAGAAGCAAGATAATAATGAGTAGAAACAAGTTTTGTAAAATACCAACCTTGTATAAGAGGATAAACACATTTCATGACACTTCTATAATTTTCCTTTTAGTTTTCTCTGATTCCTCTGTTGTATGAGCAAGGGAATCACATCAGACAGACTTCTTTTGACTTGGTTAAGCTTGGGGAATAACTTCACAATTGTTGTTGCCTAAATGTATGCATGGGGACAGGTACCCTGGGTCAGTGCAGGCCTGATGATTTATGAAGTTTTGATCTTAGTCATGTAACTTAGGAAACACATCAACAAATCCTGAAGAAATAATACAGAGTTTCTCTTAACTTCTCCCAAAAGAGTCCTCATGGTGAAATTTACTTCATTAATGTCATAGAAGGCAGGCATGGATGTGCTTGGGGGAGTCCCAGTATAATTAAAATGGAACTAAGTTCCTTGCATGAAGCTGAGTTTTTGTGATCTAAACAACAATACTTACATAAGAAGCCTCTGTTTTGGGGACTACGTCACCTAGGTTCTCCTTGCTAGTAAGACACTTCTGATTTCTTATGGTGTCTGAAACAAAAAAGCATTTTTAAAATCTAGGACTCCAAGAATATAATACATCTGAGTAAGCAGCTAAATATCTTATTCAGAGTATGATAGGAATAATGAATAGGGTATCACTTACACCACAGTATTGCTCCAGTTGATAATAGTACTAACACAATTATCAAAGCAATGGCCCACGATGGCACTCCTGTTTCTGCTGGAACATTGGAAATGTTACATGAATGTTAAGCAGAGAAATGCAATACAGCAACACACTCTAAATTTTAAACTAGATTGTGACAGATTATAGAAGACTTTCTGTTGTCTCCTAATGGTAGAAGCTGGCTCTTTGTTAAAGACTTAAATACCATGAGTTGCTCCTGAAAAGGAATAACAGCTCCTACATCTGCACAGTGATCAGGGCAAAAGAGCAATCCTACTCCACAGGTCAGTACAGGCCCAGTAGATACGATCGCTGTGGGCCATTCTGTAGAACAGTACAATTGCAATAGCCTCTCAACATACAGCAGATGCTAGACTGTGCTAGGTTTTAAAATGGTACCTTTCATTCCACACACAGTGTCTGAAGTTGAAGTACACTGTTTTTCAATTATGCCGCTTTCACATCTGCAGAAAACATGAACAGAAATTATTATGGAATTTGTTTCTCTCTTTATAAACTCTGTCAACAGAGCAAATAAAAATCTAACACTTTTACCAGCTAAATATTTCATATATCAAGATGTTGGAGTTTAGAATTGAGTAGGTATGGAAAGGTATGGGAGTGGAAAAAGGTGTGGAGATGATTTTCAAGATGTAACAGTAGATCACACAAAGACAACAGGAAAGCTCAGGTACTTCATTACATTTTTTTTGAAAAGTATACACAGGTTTGATGGATTTATAAAAGTTCTTCTGCCTGCCTTTTGGCAAGCCTATGTAGATGCAAGTTAATTTGACTGAGCTAAGTCAGCTCAACAAGCTAAGTGCAAAGGAAAACTAGTATGTTTTGCATCGGGTTATACATTACCTTAGCCTCTGTCTCGAAACTGGCTGGAAAAAACTGTGATACATATGATATTAATAATTTCATATTTAATGATGAAGGCATAAACTTACATGGTACAAGGATCGCAGTGCCTACATGGCACAGAAGAATTGCAAAAATGGTTCTCTGCACAGGTGCATTCCGTGTTCTGCACTGGGGTGCAGTTCTTTGCAACCTCCAAACCTAAAAATAAAATTCATAAAGTTTGTTTGTTTGAAAAAGTAGGCCTTAAAAGCAGACCTCTGCTCATAACCTCCTGTCCTCAGACTTACACGTGATTTTAGCTCTACCGCTGCTGGCACTGGTGAGTCTTAATTGTAGGAACAATATATGTTTTACAAGGAGCCCTGTTGCTGGAGAACTGTGAATGTGGAGATGGCAAAGAGACCTCTGCTGGCCAAGAGCTCAAAAACTGATCCCACCATAACGCACTTGCTAGAACCGAACTCCTTTGGCTCTGCAGAATGTTGTCAGCTTCTTTTTCTCACTCAGAAGTGTAAAGCCAGAAGTAAACTCAGAAGACCAAGTATCCCACCTCCCTGCTTGATGTCAGAGACAAGTTCTTTACTGTCCCTCACAGACAAGTTTATCTCTTCTTGAAGACCTCCAATGTTGAGGAATTCCACTGTCTCTTTTAGCAAACATATTCCCTACTTAAGTATCAAAACAACTGAACTAATTTTCTCCTATCAGTGTATATGATAAAGCTGTCACCATCTACGAAGAATTATTTCTGTATTAAAATTACAGTAAGTACCTACTATGAAAGCTATTTTCATAGGCATATAGGAATATAAGCAAATTTTGAGTTATCGTATTCAGTGCCCTGCTGTAAGGGGAAACCTTATTATCTCTCACAATTTGATGAAGCTCTACTGTGAAAAAAATGACTAGGTGTAGGGATGGACCTTCTAATATCCTTTCCCACACCTGTGAATGCTGGTAGACTTTGCAGGGACCAGACCACAGAAAGCAGACAGGTTTGTGTTTTCTCTAAATAGCATCTCTTGCCTCCACTGCTGAATGCAGAATACTGGGGTAGGTGGACCACTGCCCCAGTAGGGCATACCTCATAGTCTCATAATTTGACCCTATAACCCACACAGCATTTTGAATGTATAAAAGATATCACTCTATCAGCTCCAGCAATTTTAAATAATATTATTAATTACATGAAAGACTGCCAAAAAAACAATATGGAATTCTCCAAGCCCTGCTTCTTACAACACCTCTCTTTTAAACAGGAAAGAAGACAGTGAGCTTTTCTTCCTCGAATGTAATCAGTTTGTATAGGGTCTGCTTTGCAAGGGCTGCTTTGGCTGAGTTGAAGCAGATATAAAGAGAAATAATTGACCAACATAGCTTGTTCTTATTCCTACTTTGTGCCTGATGAAAGGAACCTGGGGATAAACTTACTACTTTGTCATAAATTCCTTCATGTACGACCACTGAAACATTTTAATCTGCATGCTACCCACTATTCAGGGACTGTGGAGACTTTTTGGTCAAATTGTATGTCAAAAAAGAGTCATTGCTTGAGCTGCTTTTTCTACAGACATACCGAATACGCTGTCACATGAAGAGCATCTCAAACACTCATCCAAATCATTGGCATGATCTATGTACTCCTTTCCACTTTTACATGGAACACAGTCTTCATTAATATTTGTGGGGCAGGTGGTATTTTTAACAAAACCTGTAGAGACGGAAAAAAAAGAATTAAGATTTGCAATACCTTTGGAAGCCATCAGCTCTAAGAACTATACCAGACTTTCTTTTTAATCCCTAATACTTTTTGCTTTATGAATATGGACAGAATCTGTATTCTTTATACATACATATATGCTCTTCGGGAATGTAGTATACATAAGATCTGATTATCCCCTATCTTCCTTCCACTTAGGACTGAAGGAAAACACACCAAACAAAACTTTATATGCAAAATCTGAAAACCCATGCATATATATGGAGTCTCATAGGCAAAAAGCCTGTGCTTGAACTTTTTTAACCTCTTTCAAAGATATGTATGTAATTCTTAACTCTTTTGTGACAAGCATGCTATGTGAGAACCACTATTTGTAGTGAAAAGTTATTGGTGTACTAGAGCTCAATAAATAACTTTGAAGTGTCTGATGTGAGAGATACATGTAATAGAGAAAGATAGAGCTAGAATGAAGCATTGCATCCAGGAAACCACAGCATGCCACTTGGCTATCCCAGCAGAAAGCAATTGTGCATGTTGTGGTTTCCACTCTTAATGATTTTTTAACACAGTTTTATATAATGATACTCACCACGTTCACATTTCTTGCAACACTGAACACCTAAATTGTATTCATCCAGGTTACACTTAATTTCCCTCTTAGCAAGGGTCCTTCTTCCAATTAATTTATTGTACACTATGGGTATTAGAGCTTCAGTACCATTTTTGCACTGTGTTTCAATAATTAAGACAGCCACCTAGGAAAGAAGAACAGCAAGTTATTAAAAAAAAAAAAAGGTCAAGGATATAAGTGTGTTTTACTGCTAGCACAAAGTCACATCAGTACCATTACTCTATTGTTAAACATATTGATATTTACCCCCTTATTAAAGTTCTTCATTACTTCAGAAGAGTTAATGGACGTTGAGGACACCTCTCAGGTTTAATGCTATCAACCCTGCCACTACAGGTACTGACAGTTTGAACATTAATGCTTGAGAACAGGCCTGTACATCTGAGTTGTAACAGATGACCTCATGTGTCTTACTATAGTGCAAAGCAAAGAACTCCTGCTATTTTCTTGAAGAGTTTTCTCTACCTCAGATCACTGTGCCTAAATCTGCCCTTTCTTAGCCAGTAATACTAAACTTCCATAGAGAGCTTCCTCAATTCAGATTATAACTTTCTTAATTTCTTGTCACCCACTGTTGCTTGCAAACGGAACAGTGTTAATGCATCTCTGAAGAACTAAAAGATGGAATGTTTTAATATCAGCCAAAAATACCAGATTCATACAAATACCTTGTTCTCACTTTGTTTTCAAATTCAATTATTTTTCTCCTTAGTAGATGATGCCTACATATTCCTGAAAGAAGTATCACTCTCCTTTCAAATTAATTTACACCCTGACCTATTTATTTGAATGCACTGTCAAATTAAATTGCATAGTGCTTGGTTTTTGTTTTTGTTTTGTGCAATGGTGCACTGCATGGACTACAGTCCTACCAATCACAGATTCACTCACATTTTAAATCAGCATGCAAAACACCTTGACTAGAATAATTTATTTTTAATTTTGTCTTGGATATTTGAAATAAGTTAATTCTGAATGGTTTGTTATCTTTGAACACTTTTGAATTGCAGCTTAATACAAATTTGACTGTATTTGTTAATGCTGACAACAAGGGACATACATATTTAAGGAATTCTCTAATAATTTGAGGACTAGATATTTTTGTTGTTACACTTTTTTTTTTTTTTTTTCCCTGACAGAGAGTGATATTTAATGGCTGATTAATTAAATCTTCATGATTTTGTGTGAAACTGCTTGGATGCTGACTAACTTTAGTTAGATGTGGAAAACTCTTTAATTATCTTAAACATTAACTTACTGAAAAATGGGTCTGGATTTCAAACTGGGCTCTCAAGTGAAGGAACTATTATCTGTGGCTAAATTAATTGAAGTAACCAATATGACTGCTGTCTGCTGACTTCTACAAGTAGCCAAATCTTTTGATACTCTAGTCTATTCAGAGATGGGAAAGTGAAAAGCATTTTCTTTCCTTAGCAGCCATCTGTTTTAAAATTTATATAATGTTAGTTACTACACTGAAATTAAGAGGGCCTTTCTTTGCTCCTGGATGAGAAGCTCCAGCTACTAAAAAAGCAGTTTAGCACTTGAGACACTGTGGGTACAGATGCTCAGCCTGTCACTTCCCCCTTTCAGTGCTCTGACTCTGTTCCTTTGCTGCCAATGCTTTGAGGGTGCTCTTTGCTGAATCCCAGTGTAATGATGTTAAAAGGTTAAAGTTAATGTAAGGCCTTAACAGCAGCCGTCAAATGGATGTGCCAAATTCACGTGATTCGTTTTCCTTTTGCCTGTGAGAATCATTTTACTAAAAACTGGAATAGAAAGTCCAATTAAAAAAGAATTACTAAAATGTAGTCAGGGACATATGTCCAGTCTGGTTGGCTTTCCCTGAAGCAGGGTGAAGCCTTCCACCTCCCTCGTTCCTCTGTTGCTCCTCCGACATGTGTCAGACTGAGCCAAAGGAGGGGACGGTCACAGGATGACACCAGGGGACACACGTTGCCCTGGCTCTCAAAGCTGGAGGATCGTGACACCCTGACCGGCCTGCCCGCCATGAGGCCCCAGCCAGCAGAAGGGTTCAGAAGCAAGGCAGCCCTGAGGCAGCATGGTGGATCTCTGGCTGCCCCAAGAAAGCGGATGGCACCAGGAGGCTTCCAGCCCTGAAGGTGGATGGCATGGCTGGGATACGTGGCGGGCTGATGCAAACACCACTCGTGGTGTGAGGAAGTTGGTGGGGGAACACCACCTTCATCTCCCCATGCTGATGGAGGAACTATGACTCAGCAGGGCGAGCGAGGAGCGTGGCACCAGCCCTGCCACCCGCTCCCTGCTGCGCTCGAATGCCACGGCCAACGTTCTGACAGACCTGCCCCAGCTCGTTGGCGAGAGCCTGGCACCCTCCTCCTCCTCACCTGCCCTGACAGCCATGCCTGGAGAAGCTCTGCACCTGCAGGGATGCTCTCCGCCCTGCTTTCAGTGCCCAAATCTCCCCTTTTGAGATCAGAGGAGTCAAACCTTTTTTGGGAGGGGGGAAAAAAACCAAACAGACCCTGGGCACCAGTAAAAAGAAGAGGGAGAGTGAAGATAACCACAGCTCTAACACACCCACAAACAGTACCTGGGCATAGTAGAGAAACTGAATGGCACTGGGGAGGTGCAGAGCATGCACAAAGAAAGAAAATGTACAGAGAGTTGTGCAGCAAATGGGATGTAATGAAAGAAGGAAACATCTTTCTAAATGACTAAGTAAAGCTCAGCTGAGTCTCTTTTTGTGTTTACTGAATGCCTGCAATCACAGTGCAGGCACAGACACAGCCTTCCCTCACCAGAACAAACCTCCTCGCCTCTTGCTTAGGCTTTTATACAAACAGGCTATGCTGATACTGTGAGGGGGGGACAGAAATATAGCACTTTTTAATGGAAGCCCTCCACTGTCACTCACAGAGGTGAACTTCCTGGTACGCTTACAAGAAGTGGGGATCACTTCTCAGAAATTCACATTAAAGTAGCACCAAACACCTGTGTTCTGCTTGCAGGAACGTTTTACACTGCCTTCCTGTACGAGGAATAATGAGAAAATTGTGGAGGTTTTATAGCTTTCAAAGCAACACCCTAATTTTTTCAACTTTTTTTGTCCTCCTGGATTTTCACCCTCTTAAAAGCAGTCCATTTGGTATAGAGAAATTTTGGTGTCTTGTAGGGGAAAAAAAAAAGTTAAGTCATTTAACTTCCTGCACATACCTTAATTGCTTTCCTTGTTGTCACTGAGCAGCGAAGGCTAATAGTGGAAGGAAGCACTTTAGGGGCTTTCACAGACACAGGGGTGATAGGTGCTTTTTTTTTTGATGTGTACATTCAAACAGAGGCTGTACGTTTTTCAGCCTAAAATGACTCACAGAGGCTCTTTTCCAACTTTCTCGTCTTAACCTAAAAACCAGTTGTCATTTCTAAACTGAAGACTTAGATTGAACTGAACAGTCACTGGGAATAAGATTAATCAATCAGGGACATCTTACCTCAGCAGAATCCATTAAAAATATCGTGTGAGACCAAATTTTTTGGTTTCTCTCCTTTTGCATTGCCCAGGTATTTAAGAGACCTTTCTACCTCCCTCTCCTTTGCTCAAACACTGTCACCAACAGGCATCTGCTAAGGAGACTTAGAAAACCTGGTTTTGTCTGTGTTCCCAGGGCAGAGTGAGAGGAGCTTTCGTTTCTTTGAAAACTCATGTCATTTTGGGATTCTTGGGTCTCTTGATTCTTCCTGTATCAGAGGAGTCTTCATAACAGGTCAACTTCCATCAAATGAAAAGTTTCAGCAGACCTACCTCATGGGGATGTAAATCTCAGCTCTGGAAGTGTGTGAATGTGTTATTTGCATACAGGACTTTTTAAAGCTTTAGCTTTTAACCCTGCAAAAAAATTGTCTCTGCTTTCCCCTGTTAGCTTTATAATACCTCTTATTTTTAGCAAACCACTTCTCCCATTTCTAATCCATAGATGCCTATGGATGAGAAGGCTGATGCCTTCACAACTTGGTGGCCTTTTTGTTCCACTCCACACTTGTTACATGGGGCAATGTGCATGAGCTCATCAGGGGCTTTCTAAGTGTTAAAAAAGGGGGAAAGGGGATTTTTCTTGCTTTTCTGCCTAGTGGGAGCTGAGAAAAAAACTCATTTCCTGAGTTTTGATTTGCTTCTGGTACTTCTGACAAATGGTTGCTAGAGTTAACTCCATTTTAATACAGTTTTCTATGCAATTAATTTCCCTTGTGTTAACGCTGTCAGGATGGCTTTTTCAAAGATTAAGTAATTTCACACTGCTTGTGAAAGAACTGTAGTAGAGAATGTGCTTAACAATTATAAGTAATTTGTGCTTCCAAGATCTCCAGTATAATTTTTCCCTCATGTCTTTTTTTTTTTTTCCCCACTAAGGCAGAAGTTGATAGTTATCACCAAACTAACCACTATAAATAGTATTTTGTGTTCTATAATCCTTCATGAGAAGGAAAAAAAGAATCTAGTTCCATTTTCTGAAGCCCAGCAATGGGAGTTGGTATTTCCCCACAATTAGAAGTATCCTGAGCTTCTTAAATTTCCAGTGAGATGCATATGTTCAGTGCCTATGACAGTAAGAAGCCTCAGTTACTGCCCAGTGTCTCAAAATAGTTGCTGTCCAAATTCAATTAATTACTATTTCACATCTCAGCTGACTCACATGCACATTATGGAATTATGGCAATATGTTGGGGGTTGTATGCTTTGTTTTTTAAATTTTGGTTTTTAAGAGGACTGTACTGGTAAACACCTAATAGACACTATATAATTTGGGTGAGCTGGCACAATATTAACAACTCCCACCTCACTTTGATGATGTTGTGACTGTGGAATAAGAGCTGGACAGTGTAGAATTTTAGCAACTTTTCCTCTTTTTCCTTTTGTAACATAATACAGTTTCTTGTTGGCACTTTATCTTTGTTCAGTGAGTTACCTCAAAGATAAAGGCAGTTAACTGTGGAAATGTGTGAGAGACATTTACAGAACTGGGGTCCTTATACTTTCCTCGAGTCTTGGGTCATCTCATGACTTTATGGCTGTTTATACATATACATTTAAATGTGCGTATTTTTTGCCTGGGAAGTGAGAAGGAAGGGTCAGTACAGTAATGTAGGAGTCCTGTTTTCAAAGGTATGTTTTCTAAATTTCCAGAAAATTACCTACTCTATAGTTGTATCAGATAATTACAAAATATTTAGATAACACTTCACTCTCTGAAGATGGCCTATTCCTTTAGAGCGTGTCTGAGTGGTATGAGGTTTTGTGGCTTGTTTCACAGGGTGACGTTAGGTAACTTCTAGCTGCGTAGGCCACTGCTGTTTTTCATGACTATCCCTGCAACTGTTTCTACTTTAGTGCAACGTGGAATTGCTTGCAAAATTAAGGTCTTATTCAACGAATTACTTCGATTTGATTAAACCAAGACATAAGTATGTCAAATGCTGCCCAGGTTTACTGATTTGTATGTAGCGGAACAACATGTTAATGTAAAAACAAACAAACAAAACCCCACACACCCGTAACTTTTTAAAAATGGAAAGTATGTGGGAGTGTCATAGTCTTAAGGGGCACTGAAATTTGGAAATAAGTGGAAAATAAGATTAGGAATTATATTTATTCTCTGGGAGCAGTATGATAAGAGAAAGTATTTTTTACCTTAATTTATATTCTGAATAGTTCTGAGATACTGAGCTAGACTGACATTTCTGCTAGTTGTTTGCTGCTCCTGTACAGGAATAGATAATAAACATTTCTGTCAGCAGATGAAAATCATTCTTTGTATTTAACTATGCTCTGGTGCTTTGTGCAGGAGCATGGAGATAACCCTCTGAATCACTTTAAATAGTTTACCGTGTGTTATATAGTAAATCAGATCAGGATTTGAATAGGTTTTACCTTAACATCTAATTTTAACCTGCCAAACCCCAAAACAAACTGCACTCATTAGCAATGTAACCACGCTGTGAAGAGACTGTGAACTCCAGCGAGTTCTGAAATAGGCGAGAACTTGGGCTGGGCATGCAACACATGCTGCATCCAGGTGTGCAGGCGGGTGATGGCTCTGCCATGCAGCAGGGCTTACTGCCACCAGCCTGATCCACACAACCCAGCCTCTGGGCCCTTGGAGCAGGGCTGCAGAGCCAGGGCATCTGCACGTGGGTGTGTGCAGGTCTCCTGCCCAGGAGCTCGCTGCCACTCCAGCTCTTTGGCCTAACGCACCTGTACCAGTGGAGACCCCTGTGCTGCAGCCACTGAAAGACTTCCTTACCTTCCTTGCGGACAGCAGCTCTTCAGAACGAGTGTTTGTGGAGGTAACTTTACTGCTGACACAGTTAGACATGTGACCTAAGCTCTGAAGCTGCAGAGACTCATACTGTGCATGGAAGGCCCTGCCCCACTTCCAGTAAATGCTGTGCTTCGTGCCACTGGTGTCGGACAATTTCTCAAGCTTTTCCTGGGTCACTGTCAATAGTGGTCCAAAACTCTTCCACCACAGGTATTCACCTTTATGCTGCTTTACCAGCTCACCTTGTTATGGGTCGCTGTGGTGCAGTCCAGGCAGTTTTCGGTAACGCAGTCTTTGCCCAGGCAGATGCCCAGCCACAGCGCTGACCGTGCGCTCTGCGAGAGGGCGCTGGACCCGACTCGCCAGCATCTCCGGCTGGG